TCTATAATCTCTCTGATGTGTGCAAGGCCAGATTATAAAAACATCCACTTCATTACCTATTTTATCACCTTTTTTAGTTATCTTATATAGATAAAATAAAATGATAAGATATTTATTAGGAGTTTGATTTATTTTATCTATCAAATTTTATCTTATTTTAAAGGTACCTATACTATAGCAGAGCAGTAACGGACCAAAATAGCACCAAAACCAACGAGGAATTAGTTCCCCATGCATACACGTATTTTAATTGTTCCCGTTTCGAAAATCGTAAAATATCCAATTTCGTATCAGGAAACACATAAAACTGTGAAAAAATTAGTCATAGTTGTTGACTTAATAAACCGTGACACATTATTTTGCCTCATAACTTTTTTAATTTTAATCCGATCTCGAAAGAATAATAGTCAGTATATTGACAGTAGGTACCGAAAATAAGGCGTAGGTACAGATTTGTAAAACCTTTCCAGTAATAAAATTTTTGTAGCTAGGGATGTTATATTTTTTTACCTAGGTACAGTCGTGACCATAAAAAATGGGACACCCGTGTTTTCCTATTGTAAAACGAGCTCATAAGCTAAACCTACGGCAATGAAGGGATTGTCATATTTGACAAAAAATCCATTGTAGAGAAAATACTGATTTACCCAAAATAGCGAAAAATGACAAGACCTGTCAGTCGGGTGTTCCATTTTTTTGACTATACCTTTTTCACTTATTATTGGCGAACTGGTGTGCCATGGAAATTTCGCAGGTTGACCCTCGTATAATAATGACAGTATATGTCAAATTCCAGACAGTTTTAAGTGTGGTTTACATAATTTCGTAAGTGCCGCGGTATTAAAATTTTCTGGCCTATCTGACAAATCAAATTTGACACATTTTTCAATGCATTTTTCAATAATGCTATATTATAAACGGTACCTAACTATTTTGCGTACCTGCAAAATCTAATGACATTTTTTAAAATTCGGCATTGTCAAATTTCTTCCGTATTGAAGATGACGAAAATAATTTCAGAAGAAAAAAAAGGGAAATATTAAAATGTCATGGTTATTTAAAAAAAATAAACCACAGGCTCTCCAGGGAACAATTGAAGCCCAACTTGCACATATATTTGAGGTAGGTATATAGGTATAACTTAAATGTAAATGTGAAGCCATTTCTTACCCAACCAACATTTTAGCTTAAATTTTAGGTGGAAACCAAGACTATTCAAAGAATTTTGACTGGACAATATACAAACAAAAAACCTTTAGGCCGACCGAAAAGGACACAGACTATTATGGACCGAATGTTTAAAGAAGATTTACAACGACAAATTTGGAAATACAATTCTAAAAATGAATATTTTACAACGATTTTACATTACAAACATTACTGACAAAATTTGGAATTTAAGGGAGGGCAAACAAGTTTATATAAAATTTTAAATTCTATGGGATATAAATTTAAATTAGTAAAGGGACGCAAAATTTCGCTCTGTCAAGTTAGCCCCCCCACATTCGAATTTTCTAAAAAAATTGCAACCACTTACTGTGCTCGAACTGTGCTTTACTGTGCCGATGATATTTTGAACTGTGCCGTTTCGATAACAAAGTTATAGGAAAAAATAGATGAGGGGCTAATGTCATATTCCTCCATAATATCATGACATTGTACCTTTTACGACCCTCGAATACTTTCCCAAATAATGTCTCGCCGTCGCCGAAAGCAATATTATTATATGACCCAGACTTTCTGTTAAAGAACCCAAAGATATTGTATGTAAATAAATTAAACATTTGTCCACCATAAACCCCAAAATTCCCAAATATCCTTAATGGTCATTCTTTGGGCGAACAGACTGTCATTTATTGCCAATATTTATTTAGGGTTTTCCAGTTGTAATTATGTAGGTTTTAGAAACGTTTTAGAAGGGATGTAAAGGTCGATTTGTAAGAGATCTAGTGAAGCAAGAAGACAGTCTTAAGACAGCTTCAGTCGTAGTAACACATTTTGTTAAAACTCTCTCTAAAATAAATCTTACTTTTGCTGTAGTTCAATTTCATTCTATATTCCATTACCTAATAAAGCTACAAGTTTCAAACCAAAAACAAAAGTAGTTTTAACCAAGGCAAAAACTCTGAAGGATCACAACACTAACTTGACGCTCAGCCCCCCCAAAATTTTGGAAATCAGATGAAACCAAAAAGGATTCTTATCAAATCTGAAGTGTGCTGAACTGTGCCGTATCAGGTTTTTCTCAAAATTTCCATATTCGGTCATTTTTCGACAAAATTCTACTGGGGGGCTAACTTGACGCTCAGCCCCCCCAAAATTTTGGAAATCCAGCTTAAACAGAATTGAATTCTTATCCAACCTAGAGTGTGATGAACCGTGCTGTATCAGGTTTTTCTCAAAATTTCCATATTCGGTCATTTTCCAACAAAATCCTACTGGGGGGCTAACTTGACGCTCAGAGCCCCCCAAAATTTTGGAAATCAGATTAAACAAAATTGAATTCTTATCCAATCTGAAGTGTGCTGAACTGTGCTGAATCAGGTTTTTCTCAAAATTTTCATATTCGGTTATTTTCCGACAAAATAATCATATTGGGGAGCGGGGAGCCAATTTAAAGCTCAACCCCCCAAAATTTTGAAAATCTGATTAAACAAAATTGAATTCTTTTCCAATCTGAAGTGTGCTGTATCAGGCTTTTCTCAAAATTTCCATATTCGGTCATTTTCCGACAAAATCCGACTGGAGAGGTAACTTGACGCTCAGCCCCCCAAAAATTTCGAAAATCAGTTTGAACAAAATTGTATTCTTATCCAATCTGAAGTGTACTGAACTCTGCTGTATCAGGTTTTCTCAAAATTTACATACTTATTCTCTAGATTGGATAAGAATTCAATTCTGTTTAATCTGATTTCCAAAATTTTGGGGGGGCTGAGCGTCAAGTTAGCCCCCCAGTAGGATTTTGTCGGAAAATGACCGAATATGGAAATTTTCGGAAAAACCTGATACAGCACAGTTCAGGAGCGGGACTCTGTGCCATGTAGAGTTCTATAGGTAGCTTTCTACTTTTATAGTCGACAGTACCCTTCATGCCTACTCTGTGTCACTGTCGACAACACATCGGAAATTTTCGGCACGTTTTTTCAATTTACTAACCATCCCAAAAACATTCTGTCAAATTTCGGGGAAATTCTAGGGAATTTTTATTTCTACCATATAAATATTGTTTTGATTCATTTCATTGTTTTCATTCATTGATTTTCATTTCATCATTTGATTGACATTAACATAAACTTACAAAATTTTGATTTTTCCTTGTTGTTTTGAATTAAGTTGTCTTGCAACATAAAATAGTAATGAATCCCAAGCCAAAAACTCTCGAAGCCTTTTAGAACGTGTTGGGTTATTCCTTTTGATTTTTTTGTTTTTGAACATTGAACAATTTATAAGCTTGATTGAAACGAGGATTGAAAAGAATGCTTCCCATAAACAATTTGAATAATGTGATTGTCGAAGAGGATGATAGACTGGAGGAAATCCGCATAGAAAACATCCAAAGAAGAATTATGCGGGAAAATAGTGAATGCTTCCAAATAGAAGATGTAAGGTTCAAACAATTATTCCGGTTGACAAAAGACATGGCCCATTATATGCTGGATGGGATTATGCCAGCCATAACAAATAATGTGAATCCAGTGGCAATTCCACCATCAGTGAAATTTTTCGGCACTTTACATTTTTTTGCTACTGGTACCTACCAACGAGTTATTGGCCGAAGTTACAATGTGTCTGTGGCTCAACAAAGTATGAGTAGGGCAATTCACGAGGTTACAATGGCAATCATTGATAACTTTGTTGCCAACTGGGTGCAATTTGCTTCAACATTAAATAGAAGAAATGACGTTAAAGCAGGATTCATGGAAAAATTTAATTTTCCAGGAGTAGTCGGAGCTATCGATGGAACCCATATTGAGATTATCAGGCCACAGGAATAAGAACACGCCTATTATTTAAACCGAAAAGGATTCCATTCAAAAAATTTACAAATAATTTGTGACTCAGATCTAAGAATCTTAAATGTCAATGCCCAGCATGCAGGAGCTTCCCATGATTCTCATATATGGAGAAACTCTATTGCAAAAAGGGAAATGGAAGCTGCGCATAATAATGGAGACAGGAATTCCTGACTTTTGGGTGATTCCGGGTATCCTCAAGAGCCCTGGCTGATGACGCCTATAGAAAATGCAGCTCCAGGGACTCCAGAATTTAACTATACCCAGTGCCAGATTCAAGCAAGAAACTGTGTAGAACGGTGTATAGGCGTGTTCAAGGGAAGATTTTTGTGCCTATCAAAAATTTTAAGATATTCACCAGAAAAAGTTGGCAATTTTGTGAATGTTTGTGCAATTTTGCATAATATTTGCATTGAGGGAAGACTGAATGATGAATTTGTTATTCCAGTACTCCCAAATAGAAGGGATTTCATTCATGTACCATGTAACGGCAATATTTTTCAGGGAGGAGTCCAAGCACGAAACCATATTATTCAGAGATACTTTAGACATTAATATTTTTCAATTTTTTAAAAGTTTTTATCGTCTGTTATATAATTTATAGTGTGTTTATTTTAGTGGCATGCAGACGTGATAATTATTACATCTGCTTGCCACTAAAATAAACACACTATTGATATTTTTGTTAATAAAAAAATTAGTCATGTTAATAATTATTGGTGTTTTATTTTATTTATTAATTTTTATACATCCAAATTTTCAATTATATGTATAATAAATCTGAAAATGAAAATACAATTATTTCCAAAGAAAAATCAATTTATACTATTTGAGAAACACAACTTAATGGAAGAAAGATCCCTATCCTATTTCAATAAACTATTAATTATTTCTAATAAACAATTTCAACTAGGAAAAAAATAACAATACTTAATACTATTTTGAGCAACTATACACCGGTTGACAATAAAACTACTACCCATGGCGGCATTTCTTAACGGCTAGAGATATAGAAATATGCAACTTAGTATCTTGATAGGGTTAAAAATTGTGAACAATTTTAATACGAAAACAATTGAATTTCTTTTCCGGTTTTACCGGAAAAGGCAGTTTTTACGTAAAATACAAACCATTAGGAATTACGACATATTTTTGAGCCACTCTATTTCAAAAACTATGAATTTTTGACATAAGGTATGTTAGACGAAAGTTACATACAGGGTGTCCCATTTAAAATAACAAAGTCAATGCCATCTCCGGTGAAACCGGAAAAGACATTCAATTCTTTTTATAAACCCTGTCAACAAACCGAGTTGCATAATTCTATCTCGAGCCGTTAAGAAATGCCGCCGTGGGTAGTAGTTTCATTGTCACCCGGTATGTATAGGTAGGAACTGGACAAACATAAGGTTGCATAATTTATTCATAGGTTTGAAATGAAAGAAACCATAATTATTGATCCATTATTTTTGCAAAACATTTGCAATTATATTTAAAGAAGATACAATACTTTGGGTATTGCTTACTATTCTCTCAGTATTATTTGCAATACTTTCAGTATTTGCATTTAGGATTTTAAACATCTCCACAGTTTCTCTATTCAACTGTATTAGTTCACTCGATAGATGAAGGGTTTGCTGGGGTCTTCGTCTAATAGATTTTGTAGCAGAGACAAGTTTTGTTTTTTTAACAGTCCTCTGCTCTGCATCGCCATCTTCATTATCTTCAATGCAATCATTTTCTTTGCCACTCCCTTGTCCATAATCATGAACTTGGTTTTGGGGCTTATTTTGGGTGACTGGAATACTATCAGAAGTATTTATTGGGGTTTTGTTTCTCAATTCGACTGCTTGTCCAGACTCAGTCTTGCACCCAAATACTTTATTTTGCATTTCATCCTGCAAAAAATAAATCTTGGTGTAGTAATAATAGCTAGCTAATTATTAGACTAGTGGGTAAAGTACCATTCAAGTCTTACAAGAAAAGTTTATTTTTTGTTAATTGAATATTAAGGTTATGTAATTTTATCCACAAGTTTATTTGCAACTTTCATAGTGTGTGGTAAGTATGTGGTATGACAATGGACATTCATTATTTTGATTGAACAAATTCATGAAAGTAGAAAGTTGAAATGAATTTGCGTGTTAAAAATTAATAAATAATTACATACATTGTCGTGATTGCCAAAACCGATTTCAGGAACCTCTTCATCGCCAAAAACCGACTTTGTTCCCATTATTGCCAGAAGTTTGTTCTCCAAGATGGATAATGGGGGTGCATCATTAGAACCTCCACCAGTTTTCTGCATTTCTCTTTTAATTGCAGCTGCCTTTGATTTTGTCTTCGATTTCCAATCTGTAAGTGCCTACAAAAAAAATGAAAATGTAAATCAGGAGCATGACTCATAAGTCTCCTACATAAGTTCTACCTAGTAGCTGAAATGGGGTTTACCTAAAATGGATCCAAAAATCAAATAACTTAAACAAACCTTATACTAACCTTTCGCCAGCCTTCCATAGGTTTTTCTCCGTATCCCAAAATGTTCAATTCGGATGTAACTGTTTTCCAAAGGGAATGTGCCTTAGCTTTTCCTTCAGGCCCATTAAATTTGTTTGTTATTAATTCCGGGTTCCTGTCACAAAGCTCTAATAGCAGCTGCCAATGCTCCATTCGTACTCGCATTGTGATATGAATAATAAATTTGAATAAGTTACTAGAATATTAACCATGGACTTTGAAAGCAGCAGCAAAAAAATTCACATCACAAATAATTAAATAAATAATAGTTATTTATGATATAAGTGCTAAAAGTGACATTTTATTTTGTGAAAAGGGAAGTTTGGGACACGATGCCGAAGGCGGAGTGTTCCATCCCTTTGAACAAAATAAAATCACTTTTAGCACTAGTGCTAAAAGTAATCACTTTTAGCACCAGTGTCATAAAATGGCATTTTAGACACTGACAGCATCCGTTAAAAATGACACTTTTAGTGACGTTTGTAGAAAAACAATTTTCTGGTTTCTATGTCATTTCAATTGTCAGTTTTGCCATAGGTGGTAGAATTCGACACGTCCCGAGATGTAGATCAGAAACTATGGAATAAATCGCTTTCAGCGAACACAGAGTGCGGCTCGTGTAGAATCTTGACAACAAATAGAATTCTACATGACACAGAGTCCCATAGCAACTCACTGTAGATTAGATAAGAATTCAATTCTGTTTAATCTGATTTCCAAAATTTTGGGGGGGCTAAGCGTCAAGTTAGCCCCCCAGTAGGATTTTGTCGGAAAATGACCGAATATGGAAATTTTGAGAAAAACCTGATACGGCACAGTTCAGCACACTTCAGATTGGATAAGAATCCTTTTTGGTTTCATCTGATTTCCAAAATTTTGGGGGGTCTGAGCGTCAAGTTAGCCCCTCATCTATTTTTTCCTATAACTTTGTTATCGAAACGGCACAGTTCAAAATATCATCGGCACAGTAAAGCACACTTCGAGCACAGTAAGTGGTTGCAATTTTTTTAGAAAATTCGAATGTGGGGGGGCTAACTTGACGCAGCTGCAAAATTTTATGTGAGCAGAAACATGTTCTTGCTGCCAAAACAACATTTTTGCGGAAATACCTGCAATATAAACATTCAAACGAAAATATCAGATTCGTGTATTTAGATGAAACTTGAATCTACCAAAACGGATCTCAAGTTCGTCAATCGATACACGAATCTGATATGAAATGCAACCCATCTAAAATTAAGTCAGAGGGGAAACGTTTTACTATTTTGCATGCGGGGAGTAGTTCTGGGTTTTTAGATGGGTGCGATTTTTTTTCTAGATTCAAGAAACAATGACAGAGACTACCACAATACCATGAACGCGGACATCTTCCATAAATGGGTTGTTGATCAACTAATTCCTGCATTGAATATAATTGAAGAGAATAATAGTAATAATCATGGACAACGCTCCATATCATTCAGAGCAGAAGGATAAACCATCACCTTCATTCTCTTCAAAGAAAGACAAAATGCAGGAATGGTTGATTAAACATAAGGTATACTTCGACACGAAAATGACCATAAAACAACTATGGGACAACAATCGATCCTGCAAAGGAAGATATTTGGAAAGAGAGGACCAAAAAGAAGAAGAATATCGTGACGGAAAAATCTCAGAACATTGTTTGATAAAAGCTCGCCACAACTCTTCCATATTGCTGCGAATAAAGTGAACATCGCCATAATAATCGATGATCGCCGACATTCATAAGGGATAGGCACGTCCAGAAGAAGAAGAAATAAAAAAATGAAAATAGAAGAAATGCCGTTGGACCAAACCCGAAAAAAAAGTTACTGCAAAAACATATTTAGCTATTGAGCTTACTGTTATGGTTACGTTTAATTAATAAATGGAATACTATGTATAAAAATCAGTTAAAAAACTGCTCGACATTATTCTATAGGCTAAATGGTGATGGTATAGTGGGATACTAAATTCTTTTCCAGCATAGTGTCTATAGAATTAGTCAGAGAAAACAAACTGTAATTTGAATTTAGCGCCACAGCGGCGACCAATTAGGCAATTCAATATATCTGTCAAAACGGAAAATTCAATGTGACGTGGCGGCCAAGCAAGTTTGTTTTGGATATATTTTTATGCGTATTTTAAATTATTTTGCATACAGTTTTGCTTACAACTTTGATTTTCATTATTTAATAAAATATTTGTTGACTAGGTACCTGAACTATTAATTCCGGCAGAAACTATTAGATATTTTTTTGTGTTTTTTGGCCCATGTGTGGCCGCCACGCCATCTTGAATGTCACGTGGTTTGAATTGCCATCTGGCAACGCTGCTCAAAATGACAGCTGACTTCAACAGTTCAACGACGTGTGGTGTCGTGTGAATAGTGTGATATGTGAGTCATAGACTTGTTTGATGTAGTAAATTTGATGTTTCGTTCTTGACGGTCAATGTCAGTGCAAATTGTGCGTTCTCAAAACCGTGATGTGTTGCCAGATTGGAAAAACTAACTACGTCACGAACTTTTATTTTCACGTAGGGGCGGGGCTAAGGGGAAATTTTAAAAATAAATTTCCAGGCTATTACGGTTTTTACAAAGCAACTGATTACACTAAATAGTACGATACGTCGAGTATATCACTAGGTAGTGGTTAAAAATCACTTGTATACTACCCCATTGAATAATTTTACTATTTGAATTTACTCAGATATTTTACACATTCTGGCAACTCGGCTTTCTGTTTCATAACCCTGAAATTTGAAAAATAATTTGTCATCAAATGTCATTATTATACGAGGGTCAACCTGTCAAATTTCCATGGCACACCAGTTCGCCAATAATAAGTGAAAAGCTTATATACCTACATATTTAGGTACATGTTTTTTTTTTACTACTAACCTAAGGCCGAGATTATGTTGGAGCTGTGATAAACGATAATGATACTTTACTTTAGTATCGTTGCTTTTATCATTTATCACAGCTCCAACATAATCTCAGCCTAAGAAGTAGTCATTTATTCAATTTATTTTTCTAGGAAAATAGTATATTATATACCTAGGTAGAGAAATTGGTCATTATATACCGAGAGCTTTTATAAACCAAGACGCGAAGCGCCAAGGTTTATAATGCGGAAGGTATATAGTAGGTTTGTTTTTGCAGTATCACAAACCAATCAGAGCGAATATCATTGGTTGAAAACAGTCAGAAAACTAGTTTCAACCCTTTTCAACCAATGAAATTCACTCTGACTGGTTTGTGATTACTGCAGAAACAAACCTAATTTTTCTCTACCGAGGAATATACCTATAGAATTTTTTTTACTACTGCTAGTAAAAAATAAAAAATAGGTTTGATATCTGTGTTCAAATTATAATTTTCTTGTCTAAAGTGCTGCCCTTTATCAACAGCTTATGGTAATTTCCTATGATGTACCTACAGGAACCTGTTTTTTCTTTTGATTGACAATTTCAAATTGAAATTAAACCAATAGATGAGATGCCAATAGAAACTGGTACGTCTACAGTAGCTGAATAAACCTTTACATACAGTGGCGACAATAGATGGTCCCGCCGCCATTTTGTTCCCAACCTCTTGTCTCTTGTTACTTTTAAATAATAATATATAGGATTTAAATGGACATCTATTATAAAAAATTGAAATCGACGTATTTGATGACTATTATTGATCTACCAAATACGTTGTTTTCCATGTTTTATGATGGATGTTCACCCAAATCCCATATATTCATATTTGAAATAAGCAATAATAGGTGAGAGCAAGATGGCCGCATTATCAATATAAATATATGGGATGGTTATTATTCTTGCGTCATGACGTCATTTTCATTATTGACCTAGATTTTTTTTTCATTATTTTCATTATTATTCTAGGGAGAGAAGTTCAACTTTTTCCTAAAAAAATAGATTGAATACTTAATGACAATTTCTCAGGTTAGCAATAAAAAAAAATATGTTGTTAGGATAAGTTAATTTTAGGAAATTGTAAAATACCCTTCTTTAAGGATAGTTGAAGACAAGGTATTCAGATTCCGAGCTCCACTCTGAACAGTCGGGTTGCCTCTCAACATTCTCAACTAAGTGTCCCCCCCCTCAACAAGAATTTTAATAAATGACACATTTTTATACAATACCAAGTTTTAATTATCGAAGTATATATAGTACGAGACTGGAATGAGCGGAAAACTCCAGGTACTCAACATTCGTGGCATCGGTCAACTCCCGATCCCCAACACAATTTTTATAGAATAAACAGCAATATTAAAGTAAGATAAAGTTTTACGATTTTTTAGCAACAAACACGCCTGGATTTTATAATATAAATCAAACCAGAGTTTCTTGCCAAATATATGGTTTGTATCAACAGAAGATTTGCACTATTACAAATCATCCAGATAAGAAAATCATGAGGCAAATCAAATCTGTCACGAACAAACAAACCTATTTTAAATACCATGGAAATTAGCTATAGGGAACTTGGAACGTTTCCAAAAATAAGATTTTTCACGGTTTAATTTGAATTTTACCACCAAATTTTATTGCATATTATATTTTATGTTCATGTAAAATTGATGTTTACAGGGTGATACACACCTAAAATCCATTCAAACGATTGCTTTATTATTACTAATAATTGATTATTCTTATTTACAAAACAATTGTCCAATCCCATATTCAATTTACTCTTAAAGCTTGAGCATTGAAAACATCATCGAGTGTATTCGGTGCCTGCCTAATCATCTCGACAAAAATCATCAAAATCCTCCTCCAATCGTTCAAATACCGATGATCTTCAAGATTAAAAAACAACGGCAAAGTGGATACCGGCCAAGTATTCCCTCCAAGTTCATCAGCAGGAGAAACTTTGATTCCACAATCAAATAGCTGAAACAGCAACCACAAAAGCGTCTTCTGCCTATGATGCAGCTCTTCATCGATCAATCCTAAAACGTCTGCAGCTACAATTTCCGGATTTATATTGCAATTATTGTTATCCAAAACTATTGACTGGATTGATTCCGGTATCAAGGGTTGATTGGCTCGTAAATACTGGTACAAAGCAAAAGCTGCTTCTCTGTTCCAGGCTGAAATCATTCGATTTGCCGGGGCGGAACCGTTTTCGATCATCGTCAGAATTTGGTTGGCCATTTCCAGGTTCAAGTGGCCGTCTGATTCTCGAACCTGGAGCAAACAAAACCATCCAAAGTTCCGGTAGAGTCGGGCGTTTTCTCTTAAGGCGTACACTATTTCCGTGATCACTTCCAAGGAGTTTTCCGATATTATTTTGGGTACTGGTTTTTGCTTTTTGGGACAACAACTGCAGAAATCTAGTTGGAGCTTTCCAATACATAAACCCATATGAGCTGGTAATTTTAATACTAATTTTTATATTGAGTAACTTTGACAATAAATAAATTCTGATTAGTTGTCAGCCTGAAATGTTTTTGAATTTTTAGTTTGTCAGTAGTTGGAAAAATTGTCTCTGTGGATCATAGATTTCTGTGGACAATAGACTTGTCTCGTATTACTTGAAATGTTCAGGCAGTTGGAGGCAAATAGGTAGAAATTTGACAAGCCGAGTTCGTTTTTGTCATTTTTTTCGTCGAACTTCTCCGAAATTTTGACAGGCACGTGATTTGTAAATTGAAACTGTCCGATCCAGTCACGTGCCTGTCAAAATTTCGGAGCAAATCGACAAAAACGAACACGGCCACAATATAAATATCAGCGGCGCGCGCATCTATGTTCTCTCCCAGTTCATCTCATTACTTTTAACCATATTATGTACTGTCTCTTTTTATATACGAGACCGAGACACGTCTATTCTAGAAGCAACAATGCACAGTAAAACGGAATCAATGAAGGACAGAATTAGTGATAGATTATATACACGTCTCAAGTCAAAATTGATTGTTAACGGCTCTTGATTTGTTAAATTATGCATTTGTAAGTCCAAATTAACGTTGATAAGCTTCCAATCAAGAGCCAAGAATAGTTCAAATTTTCAATATTACTAATTCTTAATTCGTTTGCTATTTTTCCTATGACCAATCAAGTGCCACTAATTGACGTTTTCAATTAAAAGAGATGGACAATAAAGTATGAAAACAATCATTTTCCCGCCAACATTTGCTTGCTTGTCAATGCCAGTATGTATTGGGTGTTTTGAAAGAAAATGTGGGAAAAGTCACTACTTCATTTGCAGAACTTCGCTATGGAGAAAGCCGTGGATTATTTTGGAAGCAAACAGCTCCCGCAAACTAAACTTGAACGTGGATTATTGTATACTTGATAGGCCGTGGATTTCCCTTTTTTTTGCGAGTATTCTTTCTGATTTTATGTATTCAAAATTTGACAAATGTAGAATTTGATGGAAACTTATGGAGAGACACGTCCGCCGGTAAATAGAAATTATTTTCACAAAAAGGCACACTACACAATCACCATTGTTAGGAAAAAACTTTGAAAAAACCGAGGAAATAATAGTTTCCAGTTTCCACATGTACAAACATCTTGTCAACAAACCACTGTCAGCGGCTGTCAACCGTTGTTTTCATACTCTTTTGGCGTCTGACAGTTTGACCCAGAGAGAGATGCTTTTAAATTGAAAAGGTCAATTGATTGAATTTTGATTATACTTGGCTCTTAAAATAGAGTTAATCATATGAGCTGGAAATATTTCAAATTTTGATAACCAGTGAACGTCTCACTGTGAAGTTTCCTGACAAAAGTTATTTGACAAAAGTTATCTGACAAAATGCCGAAAATACCTGAATAATCAGTGGCGTCGGTAATGGATTTTTTTTTAATACATATGCATTTATTGATTCAATATTATTTATTTGGTTTTAAACTAGAAACATATAAAAAAATCGGGACCCGGATCCCGAACCCCCGATTGGATAGTATCGTATCGTCCCATATAAATTACATAGACGATACTATCAATTCGTAGGTTCGGGATCCGAGCCCAGATGGGTAGTCAGAAACAGGAAAATAACAGTGGCGTACAGGGTGATCAATTATAAATGTCACCCCCTGCTAACTTTTTCATTTGACGTTTTTGACAAAAGTGTCAAATACAAAAGTTTTAAGAAATTGTCAAAAGTTTTTAACTAAGTCAGTTTTAGGCATACAGGGTGCGTCAAAAAGGTACAGCAGTGTAAAGTTATATTTTTTCAAATGGAACACCATGTATATTGTTCGCTTATTTGCTTGTTCGCTGTTTAACCTGATACCAACGATATATGGTTTGATATGTTTATCTCTCGGTTTACCTCCAATAGCAATAGGGAAAAACGCGAAAATCCCTTCCTATAGGTCTCATGCATTTTTTTTTAAATACTAATAATAACTAGGCGACGTTCCGTAAGTTAACCAAGATTCTTGGTTTTTCCGGTTCCCGTTCCGTAGCCTAACCACTCCCGAAATCTGGTTAGGTTATGAAACGCGGTTCCACACATAAACCGCATTCTCAGGAACCAAACTGTCACCATAGACCAGTGATTCCCAAACTTTTTTCTTTTGCGCCCCCTTTCTGAAATCAAGAAGTGGTCGCGCCCCCCTTCCTTTCCCCATTTTGAAAAAAAAATAAAAATTTACTCACTGTAACTCATCTGAACTGGACTTTGGGAGAGAAGGAATGGGCATGACAGTGGGCAGCGAGCGTACGCTGTAGCGATTATCGCATTGCATAGCTGCTTTGGCTAAGGTATGCGCTATTGCCGGATTGTAGATATCTTTTTTTAAATTTCAACTGATTTTTTATTTTAAAGCTCATAATTTGTATTAATTTTTTAGACGACTCACGCCCCCCTTAATGTTGCTTCACGCCCCCCAGTTTGGGAACCACTGCCATAGACAAACCGCTCTATACCAATCGGTAACTCTGGTTAAGATACGGAACGCCGCCTTAGACATCTGGATTTATTATAATATTTCACTTTGTATATTAATGAATGAAATTTGAACAATAAACTGTTTATAAAAAAATGTCTCTAAAGCCTAAATGGTATAATTTTTCTTTTTTCAATGTGAAACCTTGAAAAGGGTTTTCATGTTTTTCCCTATAGCTATTGAAGATAGACATATCAAATTATATATCGTTGAAATCAGGTTAAAAGGGACTAACAAATAAGTGCAAAAAATACAGGGTGTTCCATTTAAAAAAATATAGCTTCACACTGCTGCACTTTTTTGACGCACCCTGTATGCCTAAAATCAACTTCGTTAAAAACATTCGACAATTTATTGAAACTTTTGTATTTGACACTTTTGTCAAAAATGTCAAATGAAAAACTTAGAAGGGGTGACATTTATAATAGATCACCCTGTACACTCAATCGAACTACGAATGGAGAACCATACGAAAATATACAAAACTGTCTGATTATTCAAAAACTATACATACTTGAATAATAACTTATTATATAAAGTCAGAATTTGTAAGATTATCCACTTTTTGTCAATTTGCCTTTTAACAGGAATTAGTAATATTACTTTACCAAATTAGTAACATAATAAGACAAGTTATTCAAGTACAAATGAGTGAATTGTTGCGGAACTTATGGGTGGACTTCTGCGGGACGAGCGCAGCGAGTTCCGCAGCCATCTATTCATCAATATGTTGTTTAATTACGATACTAACCTGACTGACTCAAATGTCAATTACTCTCATTAGTTTAAAAACTACCTACACGTTTCAAGTGAATGTCTTACTTGAACAGTTCAACAGTATATTGTTGAGTAGATGGCTGCGGAACTCGCTGCGTTCGTCCCGCAGACGTACACCCATAAATTCCGCAACAATCCACTTATTTGTACTTGAAAAATAACTTATATAAAGTCAGAATTTGTAAAATTATCCACCTTTTGTCAATTCGCCTTTCAACAGGAATTAGTAATGTTAATTTACCAAACTAGTAATATATTGTGACAAGTTATTTAAGTACAAATGATTGGATTGTTGCGGAACTTATCGGTGGACCCAGCCATTTATTCACCAAAATATGTTGTTCAAGTACAATACTAACCTGATTCACTCAGTTTTATTCTCATCAGTTCAGAAAATACACGTTTCAGGTGAGTGTCTTATTTGAACAGTTCAACAGAATATTGGTGAGTAGATGGCTGCGGAACTCGCTGCGCTCGTCCCGCAGAGATCCACCCATAAGTTCCGCAATAATCCACTTATTTGTATGTACAGGGTGACCCATTTTCGGTGTTTTAATAGGCTATATCGAAAACCAGCAGAGATATCAAAAATCTGGGAGCACATTATCGAGCTCTTTTTTTGGGAAAATAACAATGGCGAAGACAAATCATAGCTGACTTGATGCGTTTAGGAAATACAGGGCACTTTTCAAATTTTGTCCAATATTAAAAGACTCGCTAATTTCCTTATTATTCAAGATATCGAAAAACGAATAATACTTTCTATGGGCAGTTTTTAAGGAGAATCCAGTAGCATAGCCAATTTTTCTCCATATGCCTCTGATTTTGGAATATTGACCAAAATTGTGTTTTTTTAAATGGGACACCCTGTATATTATTTTTTCATTGAATAGCTCTTTGTGAGCTGATTTCGATTCGATCGATTCGATAAAGGGTTTTACACCTTTATCTCCAATAGTTTTGGAGAAAAAAAATAAATTCCGTTTTTTCCATAAGAAACAATGAGCTAGAGAGAGATAAGTCATTAAATGAATTATGTGTTGCCTATTTATCACCCCCGATTCATAGTTCAACTATCTCTTTCTAGCTCATTGTTTCTTATGGAAAAAACGGAATTTATTTATTTTTCTCCAAAACTATTGGAGATAAAGGTATAAAACCTTATATCATCGAAATCAGCTCACAAAGAGCTATTCAATGAAAAAATAATATACAGGGTGTCCCATTTAAAAAAACACAATTTTGGTCAATATTCCAAAATCAGAGGCATATGGAGAAAAATTGGCTATGCTACTGGATTCTCCTTAAAAACTGCCCCTAGAAAGTATTATTCGTTTTTCGATATCTTGAATAATAAGGAAATTAGAGAGCTTATAAAATTGGACAAAATTTGAAAAGTGCACTGTATTTCCTGAACGCATCAAGTCAGCCATGATTTGTCTTCGCCATTGTTATTTTCCCAAAAAAAGAGCTCGAGAATGTGCTCCCAGATTTTTGATATCTGTGCTGGTTTTCGATATAGCCTATTAAAACATCAAAAATGGGCCACCCCAAGGCATCATTCAGTTGTCTTTAAAGTTAAAAATTTGAAAATTAGGTGAAACGGGTAAGTCATTGAGACGCACATTTTTTGTAAAAAAACAATTGAATATCACTTCCGGTTACTCCGGAAATAGACCCAAGTCAAGAAATTTTTATGGAACCCTGTATATTTTTTTGCACAGTTGGATAGAGCTTAAAATTCCCTTTCTAATGACATATAACAACTTGCATTTGTTTCCAAGATGGCGGTGTAAGACGGCATTTTTCTTAAATTCAATATGGCGGCATTCTGACGTAACCGATAATGTTTCTGTCAAAAAAACACTTTTAACAATCCATAATTTTTAGATTTGAAATGGTTTTAGATCGAATTTGAAAAAAAAATGATTTTGCTCAAAAACAAGGGTATTTCAAAATTTCTTTGAAATGCAAATTTTAGTTTCAAAATTTTCTAAAAATTTTGAATAGGAAGAGGTACTTATTAAATTCTAGAATTAAAGTGTGTCCAATGGCCTACCGAAAAATGTCTACCAAAATGCATATTCATTTTTCGGTTAGGTATTCAAAGGTTAGGTCAGAATGCCGCCATATTGAATTTAAGAAAGTGCCTTCGCACGCCGCCATCTTAAAAGCAAATTCCACTTATCATATGATCATATGTCATTGAAAAGGGAATTTTAAGCTCTATCCAACTGTGTAAAAAAATATACAGGGTTCCATTAAAATTTCTTGACTTGGGTCCATTTCTAAAGTAACCGGAAGTGATATTCAATTGTTTTTTTTATGAAAAGTGTGCGTCTGAATGACTTACCCGTTCCACCCGATTTTCAAATTTTTAAATTTAAAGACAACTGAATGACGCCTTGTATAACGATTTCGTTGTCACCAATGTCACCCGGTATATAGGAAACTGTATGATTATTCAAAAATTGTACATAGGATTGAATTCATACTAACATGGAAAGATTCAGGATTCAGGGGTTATTCAGAAACAGGAAAATACCAGTGGCGTACACTCGATCGACCTACGAATAAAGAACCATACGAAAATATGCAAAACTGTATGATTATTCAAAAATTGTACATAGGATTAAATTCATACTAATGGGGAAGGTTAAGGGGGTTGTCGGAAACAGGGTGACACTAGTAGCGTACCCACACTTGATCGACCTTTATATTTATACAAAAATATACAAAATTGAATAATCAAATGACAATTATTTAAAATCTGTACATGGGATTAAATTCATTCTAATAGGGCAAGTAAAGGGGGTTGTCAGAAACAGGGTGACACTAGTGGCGTATATACACTCGACCGATCTACGAATGGTGATTAATACGAAAATATACAAAATTATATAATCAGATGACAATTATTCAAAAACTATACATGAGATCAAATTTCTTCTAATGGGGAAGGTAAAGGGGGTTGTCAGAAACAGGGTGACATCAGTGGCGTATACTTGATCGACTTAGGTTTTCGTTTTTTGAGAATTGTAATCGAACTGTGTTGACAGCGTTTTGGTTTATTTAGAATTACATAAGAACCTGGAATTGTTCTGGAACGGTTCTCTCAGTTCTTGCTCTAAAGGAGGAACTGTTTTGGAATTTTGTGATTTTCAGTTTGTTTTGGTTTTGTTGGTTCCAAATCGGTTCAAAATTATTACCAAATTTCGACCAAAACAAAGCAACTGGCTTTTTTGATTCACCGGATACTTTTCTTAAGACCAATCAAGAGCCACTAATTGTTCCAATTGGTTCTTGATCCGTTCAATAATGCTTCCGTATATATTTGATAGTCCAAGCTTTCGTTGATGAGCTTTACAATAATTCTAAATGCAATCAAAAGTCAGAAATAGTACAAATTTTTATTTTTATCGTTTCCAGTGTGTTCCAAATGAAACTGGAAATTATCCGAATATTAAAAATCGTCAACAAGCAGGTTGATAGTTCAAATTTTGATTATTATCGGCTCTTGATTCGTTAGATTGTATTTCTGAGTCAATAGTGAAACAATGATTTATGATTCAGTTTTGTTTGACTATAACTGGTTTATTCGTGTTTCAAATGAAGTCACTCTGTAAAACTATACTTACTTATCAACCAACCCGCTATTACGTAACAAAATGTTAAGATCTCTGTTTTGAATGAGTCAACATTTCTAATATAGCATCCATTCTTTTAACATTTTCGCTGACAGAATGGAAAAATGTAACAACTCGTGCCTTATTTATGAAACTAATGCCCGGAGAGAACGCGAGAACAAAACCGCAGTCGGGCGATAAAAGGATTTATCTCGCGTTTTTTTTTTTTTTCTAAGATAAGATAAAGGTAAAGTCAACAGTACGCGTAACGACCCGAAACGTTTCAATCGAAAATTAGTTCTAGTGTTGTAAACGTACCGGTAGCAGTACCATTGCTATTCGACACGACGCGATATATTGTTGCGCAAAAAGTTTTTTGAATTAGTAGGTAAATATCGCTTTTAATGAATGGCAGTCAAGATATACTATGAATGAATGAATCTTTTCATGATGGCCTGGAAGATGCATATATGATTTCAGTCAATAAGATTCAAAGATTCAAAATTAATTATTATAATCTTTGCTGGTTTTTCGATTTTAAATAGTGAATTATAAAAAGACAAAGCTGAAACTTTATTAACTATCAAAGAATTATGATTAATAACACCTTTTTGATAAGAATCATTACGCAAAAATTTCACTTATCAACAAAGTTTTTATAGTCCATTATATTATTCGAATGTGAATAGCCCCATTGTGCTCCAATAATTATTGTGAATCACCTTTATTGATAAAGAAAATAATCGATCCAGGACTCCGGAAGAATTCCGAGTATGACGTGTTACTGTTTGAAAGGACACGTTGTCGCTCCAATGATATTATCCAGGAAATGTTTCCAGAGTAGGGTAAATAGCGTAGTTGTTTGAATGGTTAAGTTGTTTTTTGTGCGGGTAAAAAGGAAGCGAGTTTATTATTGAGGAAGGTAATGGTGGATTTTTTTATATTTGTGGATGAATTTGAATTTAGAGGCTCAATAGATTCTTGGATTTTTAAGTGATAAATACTTTCTCTATCAACATTGTGTCCATTTTTCTTCAAAATCGGGGCACTTATGAGTTGAAAATATGAAAAAATTTGCTTTAAATTGAGTTTTCAATTCCTGTTTCTGACTTCTCCAACTTTTCTATGTTAGTATGAATTCAATCCTATATGTACAGTTTTTGAATAATCATACAGTTTTGTATATTTTCGTATGGTTCTCCATTCGTAGGTCGATCGAGTGAACGCCACTGGTATTTATCTGTTTCTGACTACCCCCTCAACCTTTCCATGTTAGTATGAATTCAATCCCACGTACAGTTTTTGAATAATCATACAGTTTCCTATGTACGGTTTTTGAATAATCATACGGTTTTGTATATTTTCCTATGATTCTCCATTCGTTGGTCGATCGAGTGAACGCCACTGGTATTTTCCTGTTTCTGACTACTAGTGGAGTTTAAAAATGATTTTATCGTGTCATTCCGTCGGAAGTCTATTGCTAAAATGTAAAACCTATCTTATATCGTTCCTTACGCCTTAAGAAAGCAAAATCGATTAGTCGTCAAAAAATCGTGGGGTGCAGGGGGGTAGTTTGGGTTAGTAGAAGTATTTTATTTCGAATTTTGAAATGTTTGTACAGGGTATTTGATTATATTTGGCACCATACCTACAGCCTTTACTATTTAAGATAGAAAAAAATTGTAAATATAAAACTTGACAGTTTTTTTCTATATTTTCTTTTAACATTATCAGAAAAAACAAAATCGCATCGGAAAATGGAGAAACGTAGACAACTTCGACTTTTTTAAATGGAACACCCTGTATATTTTGCGATAAAATGAAAGACCTTTTCTTTCTGATAACAAATATATATATGTTGATCATATTTGCATGAGCCATTTTTGACATATCTCAGCTTAAATTATAACTAAATTGCAAAGAAATTTTTTAAACATAGAGATCCTTATGGAACTTCTCTGCAAATTCTTTATAATTTAATTCTGCTTGGAAAAAAAGTACTTCTAGAAAGTTTATACAGAAATCAATTATTTTCATAGATAAAGAAGTAAGGAAGGTTTCACCTTATTGCTCAAAATCGAGAAACATCCTCTAGTGGCCAAGCGGTTGAGGGTATCAAAAGACGGTTTGCAGTGTTTGCACCAATCAAGATTTCATGAAATTTGAGCCTCAGCAGAGTGGGGGGTAAATTTTTTTTGTATCTGGCTCAGAAATTGACGTTATTTACGTTTCATATCAAAAGTGTCCAAATTGGATCACCCTGTAAGTACCTACATTCTTTAACGTATAAGTAAAATAAAAATAAATTTTCAAAAAATCTTTGTTGATCACTCCATGCCTGCGCCCCCCCCTGAAGAAAATCCTGGATCCGCCCCTGTGAGGAGCGAGGGGGTGAAGCATAAGGCAAAAACAGATGTGACGTCAGGTAATCATTGGCGTTCTAACGTAGGGAGCCACCTCACATTCCTTTGGAGTATCAGATTGAAAATAACGAACTGTACATGCATCACCTTTCTTATGCCGGCTTTCCACCAAACGGACTGTTGAGTTTGTGTTTTAAAACTCGAAATTAACCCGAAAAACAAAATTCCAACTGTCGTAAAACACGCTAATCTTGAAAATGTTTGGGAAAAGTTAGAGTTTTGTCTGACTTTAAGTTTTGTTTTTGTTTTGTCGGTTTGGTGGAAAACCGGCATTAGGTACGTCAGCGACAACTTTACAAAGAGCCAGCGCGAAAATGTTCCAACGCTCAGGTTGAAGATATGAAAAAAAATTGTCCGACTTGGTTTTATGGAGCCGCTCAAGGGACCTTATTGGAGCAGCGTTCTCAGGAGAACGAGTGTTCCTTATTTCTTACTGATATACAACTGGGTCCTTATTCTTGAAACAGAGGAGTAGCGTTTCCAAGAGAACGGAGTGTTCCGTCTTTCTCAATTATATGATATGCAAATGATAATATAAGTAACAAAGACGGAGCACTCGTTCTCCTGGGAACGCTGCTTCCCTGTTTCAAGAATAAGGACCCTGATAGTATAAGTAACAAAAGACGGAACATTCGTTCTCCTGGGAACGCTGCTCCCCTGTTTCAAGAATAAGGACCCAGGAAGTTTGACGTATACATGACTTAGGGTACGTTTTCATGCATCCGTCATCCGATGGCACGATGATACGAAATTGTTCCGATTGGTTGAATTTTCGGCTTTTCATTGGTCAGAAAATGTTTGAATTACATTTTCGTATGTTTGGCAATTTTCATGCATCCCGACATCCGATGAAGGAATCGTTTACGATTGGTCAAAAATTGCCTTTCAAAAATTGTCTATTAAAGACAAAAGACTCTCAAAAGACACTCAAAAACTGTGGAAATACTAAATCAAATTATGATTAATGAACACGAAGAAGTCAAATTCAGAAATTCGAAACGAAATAATGCCAACAACAACAAACAAAAGTAAATACGTGGAAAAGTTAGGTTAGAATTATACGTCAGATCATACGATATCGTATGAAAAGTTAAAATGATTTTAACTTCATCCGACGTCGGAGAAAAGTTAAAAATATTCGGTTAAAAAATGGCGGGAAACAGTTTAACCAATAGGAGCTTCATCGGATCCATGAAAACGTACCCTTTTAAATAATAAAATACCTTAATCAAATACGTTGCGTCGATGTCAGAAACAAAATTGAACTTGTTCGACCGTTTGTACAATGCGGCCATACGCGGTCGCGTGACGCGTTGCCGAGAAGATGAAGATGGCATGGAATGCAAAACGGAAACGCAATAAGCTTATTTCGTATACTTGCGAATCGCGCATTGCGGAAAGCGAATAATGATCCTATTGGTCGATTTTAAATGTCAAGCGGTGGGAAGCCAAATCAACCAATAGGATCATTATTCGTTTTCCACAATTCGCGATTTGCAAGTATATGAACTAAGCTTTATTGAGGCATTTTTGCAGATTTTTTTTGATTTTAAGAAAGGGGCCCTGCGGGGCCCCCTATGTTCCGTGGCCCCAGCGCTTCGCGCTTCCCCGCTCATCGATAGCTACGCCACTGAGTGTCGTCAAAAGGTAACTGTCTGAAGCGATTTGTATCTTTGAATATAAAACTACAGGAAGGAGCGTTTTCTATCTGTCACTACAGACAACACAGGGGGAAACGGCCATTTTGAGCCTCCAAGTTTGAACTCATCATTTGTTTTGGTGGTTCGCTGTGTCCTCATTCAAGTGGATGTTTAATGGATTTTAGCGGTTTTAAGTGATAATAAGTATTGGAATTAGTGAGAAAAGAGTGAGTCATAATATTTACAATCATATTTAAATAAATATACGTCACTGCCAAACCGGAAATACTAGTCGGCCATATGCAACCTCCACATATTTTGGTCGCGCAGATTCGAAGTTATGCTCCTTCCTGTAATTTTATATTCAAAGGTTTGTATGGAGAACATATTATTGGGCCGTACTTCATGGATGCTAACTTAACGGCTCCAAAATATTTGGATCTTTTGCAACGGACCAACGGCAGATAATTCCAGAAATTGAAAGATTATCTGATCCCAGATTATGGTTTCAACAAGATGGATGTCGGATGTCCAGCCCATAATATGGGTTTCATTCTGGACCATTTGAATAATACTTTTCCAAACCGTCTCATTGCTGGGTCGAGAGCTACAATACTGTGATGCTCTTCCGATCTTGCACCCAACGGTTATTTTCTCTAGGGTTATTGCAAATAAAAAATGTATCGTTTTCAGGAGAATCGCGCTGTAAACCTTGAGCAGCTGCATTTCAAAATTCGAGAAATATATCTGTCACCCCTGTGAAGCTAAATAATGTTCGAAGAGCCTTCTATGATCGTTTAGGTTATTGTTTAGTTCAATAGGGTGGACTGTGGGATTGTTTGAACATTTGCTACATTGGATTATCTGTTTAGAATTTTTGTTTTTATTTTACCTAATTTTTCTTCTATTTTTTATGTTGAATGCATTTTAAGTTTTTCCTGGATGGCTTTTTTAAAATACATGTTTTTTTTTCCATAGAATCAGAACAATACATAGTATTATTGTTTCGGTTCAAAAAAAAATCTACCTATCTAAATACACGCTTTTTAATTATAAGTAAGTGAAGCTCGACGATACATCTAAAAGCACGGTCTAGATGCTACGTTTTGCATAACGTTTTGTCTGCACAGTTCAACACGTGATCAGGTATCAGTAACGTAACGTCTGGACCGGGCTTAAGTCTATAAAATCATAAATGCTGATGTGAACCATGGTTTATGGACAAACTCAACGAACGTCAAAGTCGTCGAAAAAACGACAGCGGACCGACAGCGACAGGTGCGAACCATCGTAAATTCGTCAAGTTGGATCCTATATTTCTAGTA